GCAGCACCGGGAACCGGGCGCAGCCCCCCCCCCCCTCTGCCGGGACCGCCGGCCCCGCGGGAGCGCGAGCGGCACAGTCAGCGCCCCAGCCCGCTCCCAGAGGCCGCCGGCTGGACAGCATGGAGATGGCCGGACGAGGAGGCGCCCGGCTCCAGGCCGGCCCTGAGGTCTTCGCGTCCATCTTTCCTGTTCCAACGGCTGATAACCCAGCTCAGTTCCTTGATTCTTTAATTTTTTTCTATTACCTTAAACCAATTAACTGGGACGCCAGAGCTCTCCTGTCGGAGAAAGTAGGGCGCTGGGGTCCTCATTCCCTTTGAAGTTCGAGGCAGCCCAGAGCCCTCTCCTCCCCCCTCCCCCGCTGCGCTGACTCGGTCTTGGGAGCTGCTCTTGGCCCCCGCTGGCTGCAGGGAGTTAGCCCCTCTGGGGAGGGCGCGTGGCGGGCGGCCGGTGGCCGGGTGGGCAGCAGAGGCCGCTGCTCACTGGCCTGGTGCCCGCCGTGTGCAGGAGCTCAGCCGCGGGGGGGAAGCCTGGGGTGCGGCAGGGAGGCTCCCGGCGCCCTGCTGGACCCGGCTGGGTCACGGGGCTCCTTTGGGAGTAGGCTGACCGTCGGACCCGGAAGCTCCTCGCCCCGCGCCCTCTGGGTGACCACAGCTTGGTCCTCCACCCAGGCCTCCACCCTGGTCCAAACCCAGATGCTGTTTGTGCCAGCTGCGGGCTGCCTGTTCCTGGGGCTTCTGGTTTTACATCTGGCGAAGCCCGGGGCCCCTGACGCGGCTCTCTGGCCTCTGCACCCCGGGGCGGGGGGGGTCGTATGCCTGCAAACCTCCCCAGGCCTGGGCCAGCAAGCGGATGTGCAGATTATGCTACAAACTAGAGACAAGGAAACCTCGAGGCGCCCGAGCCCGAAGGCCGAGCGCCACCTGAGGCTCAGGGCTGCGAGGAGCCGGTCTGAGGGCCGGGGCGAGACGGGGGGAGACGGGGGGAGACGGGGCGAGACGGGGCGAGACGGGGCGAGACGGGGGACACGGGGGGACACGGGACGGCCAGGTGGCGCCGCCCTGCTGCTCTGCCCGGTGTGCTCATCGGTGGGCGGTGGAGTCGCGGGGAGCCAGTGCCGGCTTCGGGGCAGCACGGGGGTCAGAGCCGCCACTGGGAGGAGGCCCCTGCCTGCAGCGGGGGGCAGGAAGCCGGGCTGGGGGTGCAGGCCGAGCCCTCGGTGACAGGGGGACCGGCGGCCGGGCGCGGAGGGGAGAGGGCAGACAGGACTTCGGGGCCTTGGCAGCTACTCGCCAGGAGGGTTTTAAAGAGAAAGCCAGGTCGGAGGTCACTGGCCATTTTGAGGTTGAAAAGAACCGGATGGGCGTCCGGCGGGAGGTGGGGCGGCCGCGGCTGCTGGGGGGAGCCGGCAGTCAGCTGAGGGCTGGCAAGCCGGGAGCGCCTGTTACCCAAAGAAGGAGCAGAGAGGGCTGGGCCTCGGCTCTGTTCGGGGGGGAAAGGAGCCAGCGGGGGGCCGGGCCGGAGAGTCCGCCCTGAGCAGGCCGCTGGGGGACGCCGGGCCCACCTCAGCAGAGATGTCTGGAAAGAGGGGTCCGCTCAGTCTCCTTCAGGGGACACGTGGCCCGACAGACGGGCCGGAGCGCAGGCAGGCCGGCCTGAGGGCGCCAGGGCGGTCGCCCAGCCGCGCCCAGTGGGAACCACGGGGACTGGCTTCCCGCTCACTCGCCCGCCGAGGCGCCCCGTGGCCGCCCGCACGCGGGGCCGCCCTCTGCCAGTCCCGGCTGGCCCTGGCCACTGCCCCGCTCTGCAGGAGTCCGGCTCTGTGCTGAGAGAATGACTTCATGGTGGGCCAGCGCAGGTGCTGAGGCTTCCGTGGCCTCATTCTGTGGGCCTTGAGCGTGTGGCTTCAACTCAAAAGCCGAAAGACGAAGCCGCATGAACCAGGATTCGGCACACAGGAGCCCCGGCGAGGCGTGTGGGCACAGGCGGGCGCGTGGCAGGCCATCAGGTCCACCCAGGCCGCGAGGACAGCGAGGACAGCAGGGGAAGCTTCTGTTATCAGCCGCCGGGGCAGCGGCTCCGCAGCCAGAAGGGCCGTTGGCTCGGGGCCTCCAGTGTTGGCAACGGTGGAGCAACAGCGAGGGGCCTCGGGGGCGCCAGGGGCGGCCGCTGGTCACCGCGGGTTCGCCCCCAGGCACCGCCCCAGGCCCGGCCCCAGCCCCCGACCTCCCCGCCATGGGCCCCCCAAGCCCCCCAGCCCTCGTAGCTCCCCCTGCCGCAGCCCCTGACTTTCCCCCACGGGGCCGGGGGCCCCTCAGCCCCGCCCCAGCGCTCGGGCTGGGCGTGTCCTCCCACTCCCGTCCTTCGGTGCTCGTCCAGTGTGAGGAGCTGGAAGCAGCCCGCGGGCGGCGCCCAGGGGCTG